CATGTTCCGACCCCTGGCTGGCTGGCTGCCACAGACATCTGCAGGCTGTGACTTTTACTTTTGCAGAAATGATCTCCAAGGGAAGGGGAAGCAGGAGGTGGTCTGAGGTTCTGCCTGGGTGTGATTTGACACCTCTCTCACCCTCCCTGGCATCCGGGTTCCCAGGAGTGGATGTGGGCAGGGGCTGGGTGATCTTCAAGGGCTGTCTGGGTTCTGACAGTATCAGAGCCCAACCTTTCTCCTCTGCTGAAGGTCACTGTTGTGCTCTCACACTCATCTTCCTGTGCCTCCTTCTGTAAATCTTGCAACATTTATTCCAGTTTCTCAGAGATGAACCCTGAGAAACACAATTCCCCAGAGGGAACTTGGTACCATGGACCCCAGATAGGCTGTTGTGGGGCAGGGAGGGGGGGCACGAGGGCCAGAGGGCGCTCAGGACGAATAACGAGGGCGGTCACCAGGGTCTCTGTGCTGTGGGGTGTCCTCCCCGCTCTGTGCAGAGGGGACGAGCTCAGGCGCTGAGGTTCCTCTTCTGTGGACGGGGAGGTCCTGTGCTGCTCCCCAGCTTTCCTGGTCTCTCTGCAGTCCCCACCCACTGTCTTGCTTCTCTTTTTGCCCACAGGAGCCCAGATGCCCTCAGAGATGCTGCAGCTGCTGCTGCCCCTGCTGTGGGCAGGTGAGTGCCTGAGGGGAGAGGGCTGGCAGGGTGGGGGTTGCGGCTGACCCTCTTTTCCCTGCAGGGTCCCTGGCTCAGGATAAAAGATACACGCTGAAAGTGCAGACGCCCGTGATGGTGCAGGAGGGCCTGTGTGTCCAGGTGGCCTGTGAGGTGTCCTACCCCCAGGATGGATGGAATGACTCTACACCAGCTCACGGCTACTGGTACCTGGGAGAAGCATATGCACCTGACAAGGTTTTAGTGGCCACAAACAACCCATCTCAAAAAGTGCAGGAGGAGACCCAGGGCCGATTCCACCTCCTCGGGGATCCCAAGACCTACAACTGCTCCCTGGACATCAGAGACGCCCGGAGGACAGATGAGGGATTTTACACGTTTCGGGTGGAGAGGGGAAATATTGTGAAATATTCTTACAGACAGAACATGCTCTCCGTGCGAGTGATGGGTAAGGAACAGGCTCCAGGAGAGGCCTCGGGAGAAGTTCAGGGTGGCCCCGGGCAGGGCTGGGCTGGGGCCCCATCCTGGTAGGGCGTCGGGGTACAGCCTGTTGGGCTCAGAGGGAGGAGCTGAACCAAAGCTGAGGCTTCTCTCAGGGCCGCACCTGGGACCCTCCCTCCTGATCCCCTGTCTTCCCCTCCTCACCAGCCCTCAGCCACACCCCCCACATCCTCAACCCGGGGCCCCTAGAGAGTGGCCACCCCAGGAACCTGACCTGCTCTGTGCCCTGGGCCTGTGAGCGGGGCACGCCCCCCATCTTCTCCTGGACGTCAGCTGCCCACAGTTCTCTGGGCCCCAGGACCCGCCTCTCCTCCGTGCTCACCATCACCCCACGGCCCCAGGACCATGGCACCAACCTCACCTGCCAGGTGCACTTTCCTGCAGTTGGTGTGACCGTGGAGACAACCATACATCTCAACGTCACCTGTGAGTGCTGGGTCGGAACAGCAGGTCCCTGAGGGTGTGCAGAGCAGGAGGGCCAGGCAGGGGTGCTTGGTGCTTTTTCCTGTGGACTTGGCTGTGTAGGGGACCTAGAGCACCAATCCCTATCCCTCTTGCATTTCTGTTGCGTCTGGGGGTGGGCGGGTGCCACCTTCACCTGTCAGGTGACCTTGCCTGGGGCCAGGGTGACCATGATGAGGACCATGCACCTCAACATGTCCTGTGAGAGCTGCACCAGGATGTGGGGGTCCCTGATGGGGGTCCCGAGGGCAGCAGAGATGGAGGATGAGGACCTCAGACAATGGCTGCAGGGTCGTGAATTTGGTTTGGGAAGGGTCAGGGGGATGCCTGCTCCCACCCTGTCCCCATT